GGAGGCTCGCTCGAGGCCTCAAAGTTGGAGGCTGCCGTGAGCGAGGCCGACACCACAACACTCACTCAAGCCGGGGCGACAAAGCGAGAGACTCTTTCTCAAAATAATTTAAAAAATTAAAAAAAAAGAAAAGAAAATCCATTTCTGAGGCCGGAGGCCGGGAGAGAACTTCGAGGAAAAGTTCCAGAACTTTCTCCACCGTCACCACTGGCGGACACGGAGGCAGATTCTAGCAAATATAATTTATTCGGGGGGGGGGTCAAAAAAATAATAGTATTTGAACAACTTAATTGGAACACACAGAGGGAGGCCGGAGGCTGCAGAACAAAAAAAAAACGGCCTCCGCTCGCGGAGTGGAGGCCGAGGGCTGCCCTGGCGGGTGACACTTTGGGGAAGGGGCCACCAGGAAAGGGTATTGTGGGGGGACACAGTGCCAGCCCCCCAACAAGGTGCATGCAACCCGCAGTGGCATCGGCGGCCTCTGCACACGTGGAGGCTGTCCGCCCCGGCCTCTACCGTGGAGGCCGGCCTCGCTGGGGGACTCCGAGCAGTGGCCGCCCAGGACTGCCGGGGAAGCACCGGGCCACTCACTCACTCACTGACTCGCGATGCGACAGGCCGTGGGTCGCTCAAGGCCCGGCGCGCTTGGCCGCGGGCTCGTCTTCTGCCTCAGTTTCCCGCTTCAGCCAGCGCCGCAGAAGCCCCGCCCCGCCCAGCCGGGGAGGGGAGGCGCCGCCTCGCAGGAACTGGCTGGACCCCTGAGGCACATCCGGGCGTCCCCTGCGGGGCGAGGCGGGGTCCTCCGTCCCCGGGGACTTGGTGGCCAGCCACCGCAGCAGGGCGCCGCCACCGGCCGTGGGCTCCTGCGACAAAGGGGAAAGGGTCAGGGCCGGCGGGGGTGGAGGCTCGGGGAGGAGGCCAGCGCGAAGGGAGGAGGCTGCGGGGACTGAGCCGGGGCCCGGGGGTGTCACTCGGGGCCCGGGGGTGTCACTCGGGGTCGGGGGGTGTCACTCGGGGCCCGGGGGTGTCACTCGGGGTCGGGGGGTGTCACTCGGGGTCTGGGGGTGTCACTCGGGGCCGCAAGGCAGGGCTGGGACGAGGAGACTGAGAACTCCAGGGCGCAGGGGGGAAGCTGTTTGATCACGCCTGTCATACCGGCACTCTGGGAGGCCGAGGAGGGAGGCTCGCTCGAGGTCAGGAGTTTGAAACCAGCCTGAGCGAGAGCGAGACCTCGTCTCTACTAAAAATAGAAAGAAATTAATTGGCCAACTAAAAATACGTAGAAAAAATTAGCCAGGCACGGTGGCTTAAAACTGTCATCCCAGCTACTCGGGAGGCCGAGGCGGGAGGATCGCTCGAGGCCAGGAGTTGGAGGCCAGCCTGAGCAAGAAAAAGCGAGACCCCGTCTCTGCTAAAAAAATAGAAAGAAATGAGCTGGACGACTAAAAATTATAGGAAAAAAAATGAGCCGGGCGTGATGTCACACGCCTGTAGTCCCAGCTACTCGGGAGGGAGGCTGAGGCGGGAGGCTCGCTTGAGGCCAGGAGTCGGAGGCTGCTGTGAGCGAGGCTGACGCCACGGCACTCACTCCGGCCCGGGCGACAGAGCGAGACTCTGTCTCAAAAAAAAAAAGAAAACAAGGTCCACGGAGGTCACGGGCCTCTACCTTTTTGACCGCCAGGTCGACGGGGGCCAGACACTCGGGCGTGTCGTTCCTGGAGTTGTTGACCACGGTGGAGACCGGGTGGAAGGCGACGTTCTCCGTGGGGCGAATCAACCTCATGGCCTCCTGGGTGGGGACCCCGCCGAAGTCCAGCCACTGGGAGACCGCGGCCTCCCCGTCCAGTATGGCGGGCATCCTAGCGGGGGACATCGGGGCGCCGGGTGGGGACGGGCAGAGGGAGGGTGAGGAGGGAGGACAGAGAGACAGAGAGAGAGAGAGAGGCTTGAGTCTGCTGAACAAACACACGGCATCAAATAATTGACGGGGGACAGACAGACAGACGTCCGTCATGAGCACCGGGAGGCCGAGGCGGGAGGATCACTAGAGGCCAGGAGTTCAAGACCAGCCTGGGCAACACACAGTGAGACCCCCGTCTCTGCAGACAACGAAAGATTAGCCGGGCGTGGTGGCGCGTGCCTGTAGTCCCAGCTACTCGGGAGGGAGGCTGAGGCAGGAGGATCGCTTGAGGCCAGGAGTTGGAGGCTGCTGTGAGCGAGGATAACACCACCACATTCTTTTTTTTTTTTTTTTCTTTGAGACCGAGTCTCGCTCTGTCTGTCGCCCCGGGCTGGAGTGAGCGCCGCGGCGTCAGCCTCGCTCACAGCGGCCTCCGACTCCCGGCCTCCAGCGAGCCTCCCGCCTCAGCCTCCTCCCTCCCGAGTAGCTGGGACACCCCGGTCACGTGCCACCACGCCCGGCTCGTTTTTTCCCTCTATAATTTTTAGTCGTCCAGCTCGTTTCTTTCTTCTTCTTATTATTTTTTTTTTAGTAGACACAGGAGGGGTCTCGCTCTTGCTCAGGCCGGCCTCGACCTCCTGACACCTCCAGCGATCCTCCCTCCTCGGCCTCCCGCAGAGCCCCGGGACGACAGGTGTGCGCCTCCGGAGGCGCCCCGGCCTATTTTTTTTTATAACTTATTATTTCTCTGATTCCTTGGCATTTCGAGGTCTGGATCAGGAGTGTGTCTTTGGGAACAACAACGCACAGCTTTTCCCGTCCTCTAAATCCGGCTACACGGGGAAGGGGACGCGGAGGCCAAATCCTCCTTCCGATCCTTCCGGGCCCCGGGCAGAGGGTGACTCGCCTGTGGTGGATGTCGCTCAGGGCGTGGCAGGAGTCCACCGTGATGATGGAGAAGGAATACAGGGCGTCGCCTCCCTCGGGGGGCTCCCAGCAGTCGAAGACGCCGGCCATGGTCAGCGGCCTCCAATTTTCCCAGACCACCTCCCGGTCCCCGAGACCGTGTTGGGGACCCCCGCCGCCGCCAGACTACAAGCGAAGCACACGGGGAGACGGTCGTCCCAGCACTCGGGGGGAGGAGGCCGAGGCGGGAGGCTCGCTCGCTCGAGGTCGGGGAGTTGGAGGCCGGCCCGGGCAAGAGCGAGACCCCCGTCTCTACTGAAAACGGAAACGAATTAACTGCCCAACTGAAAGTATACGCAGAAAAAAAATTAGCCGGGCCGCGGAGGCTCACGCCTGTCGTCCCGGCACTCTGGGAGGAGGCCGAGGCGGGAGGATCGTGCTCGAGGCCGGGAGGTGGAGGCCGGCCCGAGCAAGAGCGAGACCCCGTCTCTACTAA